GGTAATTTGCATGGCGTCTGAAATGTCAAAAACCATTGGGTTTCCCTTATAAATTTAACATGTCCTGTGGTGTCCCTATGAGTTCACCCTTGGTACCTGAGGCTCTTTGGCACACAGTTTGATAACCATAGGCCTAAAATTAAAAACAGGACAAAAAGCTATGCATCGTGCATTCAAAAGGAATTACTACTGAGCTGCCAAAAATGAAGGCCACATATTCACCTCCTGTTCATTTTCTCACTTACCAAGAGGCAGCAGAACTGGACTTTATCCTTCAACCACTCCCTACCTCAACCCACCCTCAATTTATAATATGAGAGGGAAAGGGATGAGAGTACTAGGCGTTTTGCAAGAAGCAGTGAACACAGGTAGAGGGGAATTACATCTCTGTCAAGAAAAAGAGTGGAGACAAGAGAATCACTACTAGATACTGCAGGTGGTCTATAGATCACTAGATATGTATTTCACTTCCCAATTGGACAAATGTTTAGGAGTGAACTTGCTAGGCTGTGCCTGAGCCAATCTGAGCAAAAAAAAAAAAAAAAAAAAAAAAAAAAAAAGAAAAAAAAAGAAAGAGAGAGATTCAGGGCTGGAGAAGGGACAGTGATTGAGCAGCCTGCACTCCCATCATTTGACATGGCACATGTGAGTCAGCTTTTCATGAGCCAAGGGAAGAGCCTAGAAAGTGGCTGAGCTTGAGCCATCTTGCTAATATTCTACCCTGGAGGTCTGCCAGCTAGGCAAGGACACTTTAGTAGTAAGTAATGGCAGGACAATGGGCATAAGGCATATATAACTTATGACGGAAGCTTGGGATGGGATGGTAGAAAAATTGAGCCAGGACTGGATTCCATTCCTTAAGAAATTATGCAGGACTTCTTGAAGAACCCATACTTCCACACCATCAGAGCTAACATTTGGATGCCTGACTCAGGGAGGGCACTGAGCCAGCCATCTGGCTATTCTAGCTAGCTAGTTAAACCAAGACAATCAACAAGTCAAAGGTTGTGACCTCAGGCAATAAAAATAAAATTCTGCCCTTTCACTCAATTCCTCCTCCCTATCTCTCTAGATGGGAGCTCTGGTAGCATAGTGTCTAAGGCACTTGACTGCTAACCAGAAGGCTGTCGGTTCAAACCCACCAGCCACTTCTCAGAAGGAAGGTTGGGCAATCCTGCTTCCGTAGTGATACTGCCTCGGAAACCCAAGGAGGGGTCGCTATGAGTCGGGGCTGACTCGACGGCAAATAACAACAACAACAACATCTCTCTAGATATTAAAAGAGGAAGGAAGAAAATTTATATAGAGAGTAGAATTTGCACTCCTCTCTACCCCAAGCCTTTCCAAAAACAGACAATTTGAATTAAGATATTTGTTTTAAAATATATTGTCTAAGTTTTAGTAAACTAGAAATTACTAAAAAGTTATGGAATCTAAAATTGTCTAGGAGTGTTATTAAAAGAAATGATCATAAAAAATAAAACAACTTCATGTTTGCACTCTAAGGAGTTGAGTTGTCTCAGAAAACTGGTTACAAACCAACTATTTGGGTAATTTTCTCCAGCTATATTCAGCTACTCCAGAACAGGTGTCTTATTGTTGTTGTTGTTATTTGACGTCAAGTGGGACCCAACTCATAGCAACCTCTCCTTGGGTTTCCAAGGCAGTATCACTATGGAAGTAGATTTCCCAACTTTCCTTCTGAGGAGTGGCTAGTGTGTTGTTTGAACCGCCAGCCTTCTGGTTAGCAGTCAAGTGCCTTAGGCCCTATGGTGTTTTATTGTTGTTGTTGTTGTTATGTGCCCTTGAGTAGGACCCGACTCATAGTGACCCCTCCTTGGGTTTCCAAGGCAATATCACTACGGAAGTAGATTGCCTTCTGGTTAGCAGTCAAGTGCCTTAGGCACTATGCTACCAGAGCTCCTTCAGTGTTTTATTAGGTAGCTGTAATTGAAGTACATTAAGACAAAGGAATGGAAAGCATTTGCAAAATAGCATTAGAAAAATGATAGACTGGAAGCTCGATAAGGAAGAGAGTGAAAAGGTGACTTGTAAACAAGACTATTATGACTTTGAGCAAGTTACCTACCTCTCTGCTTCTACTTTCTCATCTGCAAAATAGGGACAACTTATTTATTTTTGGACATGTTTTCATATGCATTCCTTCTGCCTGAAAACTCTCTCTCCTCTTCATCAATCCCTGTCTATCTTCTACTCACTGTGTAGATGCTTTAAGTTTCAATTTAGATTTCATTTCCTAGGAAGTCTTTGTCTTCCCAGAGGTTTAGATGACCCCTAACAGCTTCCAAACAGGTTACTTCTATCATAATGGTTGTCACACAGAATTGCAATTGTCTGGTCAATTGTCTGTCTGTTCCACTAGACAGAAGACTCACCTAAGGGAGGGGACATAATGATGGTGTTCATTTAGCATATAATAGAAACAGTAAATACTGAATTGAGTTGACTTTAGTGAAATAATGCCCGTGAAGCTCCTATCACCTTGTGTGCTCAGTAAATAATAGTTAAAAGATCTCTATTATTATGCACATTTGTATCCCAGGGCACAGCTCCAGGCCTATACACATTTGGATTGCAAAATGCATTTGTGGAACGAAAAGTCCAGGCCAGAGATGATGAGGTCTTAAACTATGTCTGCCAACAGAAATCCCTTCAACTGTTGTCAATTTTACTTTATTACCCTAAACGTTGTCCTCTGAAACTACGATTTGTGTTGTTTTCATTTTAAAAAAAAAAAAGAAAAAGAAATTATATACTTATCTGTGTGTGTTGCTGCTGGGTGCTATAAATTGATTCCAACTCATAGCGACCCTTCAGGACTGAGTAGAACTGCCCCATAGTAATCTTTATGGGAGCAGATTGCCAGCTCTCTTCTCCTGCAGAGCAGCGGGTGGGCTGAACCACCTTTCCGTTAGCAGCTGAGTGCTTTGACCAGTGTGCCACTAGGTCGTTCTTGCTCGCGTGTGCTCTCTCTCTATATGAACAAGTAGTATTATCTTCATGAGTGAGTGTTGGTATGTGTATATTTTCAGTATCTGTCCATAAGACGATGGAACAGCCTCTATTCTGACTATAGTTGTTTTTCACAGGTCTGCACTACAATGAGTTTGGCACGTAGAGGAAATTCAATAAATCAAATCCCTTCCAAACTTCCACTTGGGAAACAGATAGCACCAAAGACAAGGGTGGAAATAGTTGGGCAAAAGAGACGGGAAGTGTGAAAAATACCTCTGGTGGCGTAATGGAGCTTTTGGAGCCCACCAGTGGCTCTGAGGGAGAAAAGACCCGAAGTTCTGCTCCTGTAAAGATTACTGCCTAAGGAATCCTAGGGGCAGTTCCACTCTGTCCTATAGGGCCGCTAAGAGTCCTAATCGACTGGTTGTTGTTGTTATTTGCCGTCCAGTCTGCCCGACTCATAACGACCCCTCCTTGGGTTTCCGAGGCAGTATCAATACGGAAGTAGGATTGCCCAACCGTCCTTCCGAGGAGTGGCTGGTGGGTTTGAACCGCCAGCCTTCTGGTTAGCAGTCAAGTGCCTTAGGCACTATGCTACCACAAAAGCAACAAGAGGACTGAACTACATTTCCCAGGAAGCCACCAGCTGGGCCTACAATACCCATCATGCCTCTGTCGGGCTGGTCAGTTACCTGTTGTTGCTATGCCCAGTTCCAAAAAGTGCAGAGAAAGTCAGAGAGAACGTGTTGGTGCACCAGTGATGGCTCCTATCCACAGGTTGCCCTGCTGAGCCATGGTTGTACCAGTTGTCGCTTGTAACGGGACAGACCTATAGGAAAGTAAAAGCTGCCCCAGGGGCCCACGTACCACGTGACCGGCTCGGATCATGTGACCCCAGAGTACCACAGCCGAAGACTGTTACCCTGGTAACTGCAGGGACCCCTGCAGACTTTCCGGAAAAGCGTCTAATTGAGGAGCAAAGGTAAGTAAGGCGTAGATGCTTGTTTTCCACTGGGATCACCGAGACCTGCATTTTGTTTCACACCCAGTCCTTCAGGCTTTAGCTTCCGGGTTCTTTCTTCTCCTCTTCTCGGATTCACTGCAAATCAGTCTTTATTTTCCCGCCAACTTCGGAAGCCGCGCTGCCTGGAGCCGGAACACTGCCGGGCTGAGGACCCTATAGTGGGGTCCGCCTCTGGCCACTCTCTTGGGGTCGAAACCTTCCCGCGTGCATCTTGAACTAACCGGAAGTAATAGGGGAAGGAGATATTGTCTGGGTCCTCACATCCCTACCTCTGCAAAAGAAAGCTGGGGTTTAAACTTCTTCAAGGAGTTAGAATCCAGAACCTGGAGCAGATCGAAGTCAGGTTTATTAAGGCAGTAAGGGAGCTTTCATTGCGGATCTCTTGGTTTCACTTTAGATGTTCAGTGGGTATTTTTCGTTGACTTTCCCTCCCTCCGAAACATAATTCATGCTGATTTGTATACTCCATTAACTTTATTTAAAACAGATTGTGAATCATAATAAATTCCATATCCATACTTGGAAACACCGCCTTAATTGGAAATAATCTATTTTGCAAACCTTTTAATATGGATTCATAAAATAACTAGCTGAATAGTAAAGTATCACAACATCTGTTTCATGCTTTGCAAGACAGAAATCCTTTGGATTTCTATTTTATAATTTTTTAAAGATTCCCTGTGAGTACCTCCTTTATTTGAGGGAAATTAACCACCCCCTCAAACCAAATCCTACCACTCCTGCCACCATACACACACTAATATAAAGATTTAAGAAATACTGTAACACTTGAACAACTGGATGTTAACAAATTAAAATGTAGTGCTGGACCCTGGGCATAAGGCAATGTAAAAGCTGCTTAATGAATTATGAATTTCTTGTTTGGCTTATATTTGTAGGTATATACTGTCAAAAGAGAGATGTCTGAAGTTTAAGTCCAGCTGTTTTCATGATGTGATAGGGATTGCTTCAAAATATGTTTATATCTCTTTTCATTTAGTGTTTCCAATTTTGTAAATACTTTGGAATGTTTTCTTTGGGACATAGAAATTACTGATTATGGCTCATTATTCCAAAGAAGAGCTAGATGAAGAATTTGAACAGTTTATGAAAGAGGTAAGTTTATTTTTTAAAAAGCTATATTATAAAATTGTCTTATAACAAGCTCATCCTTCAATTATCTCTTTCACCTCTAAGACACAATTAATTCATCACCAAGCTCTGTTGACTCCATCTCTAACATAGCATGCTGACTGGAGGTCATCCCTCCAGTTCTCTCCCTTTCCACTGCCATCATCCTACTTCAAGATCATCTCACTGGGGCCGCTGCAATAGTTCCCAACTGATGCCCCAGCATACTTTTCACCACATTGCAACCAGAATGATCTGTTACATATCAGACCCTGTCATTCCCCAGCATAAAACACTTTTTTGGCATTTCCTTACCTGTAGAAGAAAATTCAAACTCCTTACCCTGGCTTAGAAAACCCTGTAAGATTTTGCTAATGTCTGCCTCAATAGACTATGTACCATTCTTCCCATTCATCCACTTTATTTATGTCATTGCTGTTGTTGTTATGTGCCATCGAGTCAGACCCAACTCATAGTGACCCCTCCTGGGGTTTCTGAGGCAGTATCACTACAGAAGTAGATTGCCCAACCTTCCTTCCAAGGATTGGCTGGTGGATTTGAACTGCCAGCCTTCTGGTTAGTGGCCTTTTTTCTCTCCCACACATGCCAAGCTATTTCCACATTAGGGACTTTGCATTAGCTGTTTCATCTGCCAACAGTGCTGTTCCCTTATGTTTTACCTGGCTGGAGAAGTTCTTATTTTAAGTGTTACCACCTCAGAGAGATTTCCTAATTATCGTGCCACTTTAACAAATACCACAGGTGAAGTGGCTTTAACAGGAGTTTATTTCCTAGTTTTGGAGGCTAAAAGTTCATGTTCAAAATGCAGAGCTCTAGGGGCTGGGTGAGAGCCCCTTGACCTTGGACTTCAGCTGTGCCTCTTGCTCCTGGTCCACTGAAGCTAGAGGCTTTCTTCAGTTAGGTGCCTTCTGGCTGCTGAGGCTGACAAACCCAAGGTCGACAAGTAAAAAGGCACAGTCCCTATATTACGAAACTACACAGCAGGCCGTTGGTTCAAGTCCATTAAGAGTCCTAAGATTGGCAGACAGCATCCAAGCGTGGCGTAAGCTGGAGACCTTCCCTAAAATTGCTTCTTATATACTGAAAGCAGCCCACATCCGTAAAGCAGCTACTCAGCTGCTCCAGTCGATTCTACCATGGAGTTAATTATCAGTCTCACCACGGGGAATAACTACATCCAGCTCTCCAGCTACTCAAAACACGGCCCAGCCAAGTTGACACACAACCTTAACTACTACAGTACCACCCCTTGTCAACTTGGCATCTGTACAGATCTCCTTCACTGGATGGCTCTAGTCCCCTAGTTCATCTTAGTGGGAACCTCACCCCCTTGGCCTGGCAGGCTCCATTCCTCTACCTTTTGGGCATGGTAGCCTTTCCTCCTCACTATTGGGCAGTGGCTACGGCTCCTGTAACCACTGAGTCCCTTTTTCAGTATTTATTTCCTTAAATAACCCTTAACTATCCATTATTTTTCTCATGTGGTTATGTTTTCTGCCTCTCATTACAAAAAATATATGGCCTGTAAGGAAATGGCTCTGTATTCATTGCTATTATCTGCAGTATCTAATAAATGTTAAATAAATATTTGCTGAATGAAAAGTGAGAGGGTTATACCACATCCTATGTATTTGCGTAAATGGAAGCACCTGGCAGTATACTGGAGAGAGACACGTTTTCAGCTATTACCCTATGCAAAAACGACAAGGAGGCCACATGTTCTGACCTCCTCTAACCCTACAAGGGGAAGGCAGGATTACCAGCAGTAACCCAAGGCCTATTACTGC